CGAGGCCACCACACCCAGCCTGACCTGTTTCTTTTCTGATTTGAGCACATGGTGTTTCTACCTAAATGCACTGCGCCCTACCCAACCTGTTTCCTCAGATTCAGCCCCTAAACTTCACCTTCAATGGATGCTTTTCGCTGGCTCCATTTCTTGCCCCCTCGGGTTTACCATGAGTATCCGTCCTGGTATGGATTCTAATAGAGGGGGGTGCGCCAGCACTGTTCCTATGCAGACTGTATGCAGGAGTTCTTGGCTAATATAGGAGTGTGGTTTGTCTATGCCTCACCCCTTAGACTACAAGCCACGCCAAGGGACTCCTACCGCCCATTCGCCGCATTAGTATACGTAGAACTCTAGCACTAATTAACCCTGTTGTAAGGAGATGCCCACTGAAAGATGTGTTTGAATGGACTTAATGCATCCAGAGGTGATGGGGGGCCGGCCCGCAGCCACACATTCATTAAAAAGCTAAGACCCGCGGAGCGAAAGTGTCTCCAATGGCCTGTAATGCCCAGGCAGCTTTGAGAGGGCGACGGAAGGGGCAGATTCACCTGAGGTCAGGAGTTCGAGACTCTAGGCCTGGCCAACATGAAGACAACAGAAACCCTGTCTCTAGCAAAAATACAAAATTAGCCCTGGCCCCATGCGTGGCGCATAGCCACCTGTCAAATACCCAGTTAGCTTAGGGGGAGCCCTAAGACAGGAGATCCGCTTGAACCCAAAAGAGGCGGAGGTGGCAGTGAGCCAAGATCTACACCGATTGCACCTACGCACCTTGGGCCAATAAGAGAGGAAACCCTCCTGTCTTCAAAAGAAGAGAAAAAAAAGCCAAGAGAGCACAGAAGAGACGTGGTGTCCTGTGAACCCGGATTGCTTTGTTTCAGATGGAATGAGTAAGTGATTGGCTTACGTGAGCTAGCTGAGAGAGCTGTTCGAAGTAGCAGGAGATATAAGAGCCAGACGTAGGAAAATCAATAGCAGATCTTGAGGATCTTGTACAGCATTTTCTTGACGGGCTGGCACTTTTGTGGGAACACTGGGGAGAGCTGACCAAGGGCTTAGATGTCCATCAATGGAGGATAGTTAAATCTATTCTACAGGGTTTATGCAGTGGTTTTCTAAAAATTCAGTCAGCTTTTTCCTCCCTGACTGTCTGAAGACAGGCCACCATCACGAACGACATCGTAACTATCCGCACTAGAAAGTTCATGACCAACCGACTACTTCAGAGGAAACAAATGGTCATTGATGTCCTTCACCCCGGGAAGGCAACAGTGCCTAAGACAGAAATTCGGGAAAAACTAGCCAAAATGTACAAGACCACACCGGATGTCATCTTTGTATTTGGATTCAGAACTCATTTTGGTGGTGGCAAGACAACTGGCTTTGGCATGATTTATGACTGCCTGGATTGTGCAAAGAAAAATGAACCCAAACATAGACTTGCAAGACATGGCCTGTATGAGAAGAAAAAGACCTCAAGAAAGCCACGAAAGGAACGCAAGAACAGAATGAAGAAAGTCAGGGGGACTGCAAAGGCCAATGCTGGTGCTGGCAAAAAGCCGAAGGAATGAACGTGCTGCAGTAAAGGCTACCTGTGCCCATTTTGGACTTTTCATGAGAAGATTAATAAACTAAAAACTTTCATGTGAAAAAAAAAAATTCAGTCAATGTGTGTGCAATGACAGGGAGAAAGGAAAGAAAGTATTTCTATCTATTAACTTAAGAAAGTTTCCTAGAAGCAGGCGTTAGATTTCTGCAGCCTCTGGGGCTTGTCATAGACTTCTACATTACCTTGTAGTCTGTTTCCTGACCTACCCACTCCTCATGTTTTCTGTAGGTTACGCCCAATTCCTGAGAATGAAGTTACCAGATGAGAAGTCATGTTCCTTTTTTCGTAGTATTGTCACCCAATATTTTGCTTCCATTATTCTCACTCTCAAGACTTGCATCAGGATTTTGCTGCCAGAAACCACCTTGAAGACCAAAAACAAAAAACAAAAAACAAAAAAAAAAAGAAGAAGAAGAAAAGAAAAAGAAAAGAAGCACTGAAGTCAATAAATTATTAAGGAATCTTGCAAAATTGCCGCTGTTCACCTGAAAAGGAATGCAGTGGACAAAGGAATACCAAACTTAGGACCACAGTTAGTTAAGCTGTGAAGATTATACCCAACTTAACGTATATTTTTTATATTTTTATATTTTTTATGTTATGCTTTATTATTCACGAATGGCAACCATTTGCTTCTCTGAACTTACTTTAATCACATTCCAGGATGTCATTTGCATGTCGGTCATTGCAGATTTGTAATTTATAATGCTAATGTTTTGTCAGATGGCAATAAAATGTTTTTAGAAGAAGCAGTACCTTGATCTAATGGGCACAGTGGTGTCAAGGGGACTCACATGGGTTCTAGCGCTCTCCTGACAAAATTTGCCCCAGACATTCGCGAGTCCGGGGGAAGAGTGCTTTCTGCTATGTATGTTGAGAGGTAGATGAGAGTTGGGGAGCGATGGTAGTGAATAGCTCTAATTTTTCTCTCCTGCTCTTCTAATAACAGCACCCAGATTTTCCTCGGGGCAAATACTCTTCCTTGGACTCACGTCACAAAATCTCAATAAAGCCAGCCTCACCCCCTGGCTTTAGCTGTCTAAGTAGCCCAGCTTCCTGTCCAGAGGGTTTGGTTTAAAAGATGCAAGTAAATCAGGTCAGGCTCAGAGGTTCAACTCCAGGACTTTGCTGCAACTACTGAAAAAAGAAGTGCTCTTTTCCCTGGGCTGCTGGGCTGACAGCATGTAAGCCTGAGCTGCTGGTTACCATGTTTTCCTCTCTGATGGAGTCAACACAGGAATGCAGAGGCAAGCAAGAAGGAGATTCCAGGAAACTTAATCTGAGGCCCTGGATTCATCTCTACCCTGGAGCTCGTAGTTACGTGCACTGATAAATTCTGTTGTTGTTGTTGTCATTTTCAAGATTCATCGGGATGTTAAAATATCAGGTCTCTCTCGATTTCAACAGATGTGGTTTTCTCCCTTTTTTTTTTTTTTTTTTCTTGAGACGGGTTCTCACTGTGTCACCCAGGTTTCAGTGCAGTGGTGTCATCTCAGCTCACTGCAGGCTCCACCTTCTGGGCCGAAGCAATCCTCCTGCTTCAGCCTCCCGAGTAGCTGGGACTACAGGCGTGCACCACCAGTACTGGCAAATTTTTGTACTTTTTGTAGAGATATTGCTTCACCATGTTGCCCAGGCTGGTCTCAAACTCCTGGGCTCAAACGATTCACCCACCTTGGCTTCCCAAAGTGCTGGGATCACAGGCATGAGCCAACATGCCCAGTCCAAATTTGGTTTTCTATTCTACCCTACAAGCTTCCTTGCTTGCCTAATCAGACATTTTCACCAGTGATTTTTTTTTCTTTTTTTTTTTTTTTTTTTTTTTTGAGACGGAATCTTGCTCTGTCGCCCAGGCTGGAGTGCAGTGGCGCGATCTTGGCTCACTGCAAGCTTCGCCTCCCGGGTTCACACCATTCTCCTGCCTCAGCCCACCCAGGTAGCTGGGTCACCAGTGATATTTTTAATGATGCCAACCTGTGCCGCTCCATGCCCACCAGCTGAAACCTACCAGGACCCACCGGCTGTCACCTGTATGACTGCACCTGTTTTCCTGTTCCCAGAACACCAGTCAGGCCTGAACTGAGGCCACCTAGCCTGACTCCAGAGAGCCTGCTCAACTGGAGTTAACTATTTCTGACATTTTAAACAGCCATTTTTATTTACTCTAATAGGGGTTTAACACATTACTAAATTATTGACTATAAAACAGGAGTGTTTGCTTTTGAAGTCTAATTGATTATTCTTATATAACAAAATATACCCGTTGTTTTGGATTTTATGTGCAAATCATTCCAATATAGTGTTCGAAAGCTTTATTGTTCATGAATGAAAACCATTTGCTTCTCTGAACTTATTTTAATCACAACACTATTAGGAGGAAAAAAGGACTAACTCGGACTTGCTGGGGATAGAAAGCTACCTGTTCTCAAAACCTTAGGTTTTGGTGTTTTTTTGTTTTTTTGTTTTTTTGTTTTTTTGTTTTTTTTTTTTTGAGACGGAGTCTCGCCCTGTCGCCCAGGCTGGAGTGCAGTGGCGCGATCTCAGCTCACTGTGAGCTCCGCCTCCCAGGTTCACGCCGTTCTCCTGCCTCAGCCTCCCGAGTAGCTGGGACTACAGACGTCCACCAACACGCCCGGCTAATTTTTTGTATTTTTAGTAGAGACGGGGTTTACACCATGTTAGCCAGGATGGTCTCGATCTCCTGACCTCGTGATCCACCCGCCTCAGCCTCCCAAAGTGCTGGGATTACAGGCGTGAGCCATCGCATCCGGCAACCTTAGGTTTATTGAGAGTCAAAGCACATAAAAATAAAGAAACAAACAAACAAAAATAGGACCTCAGGATGTTCAGCGCTCAAATTCAAGTGCCTGATTTCTTATTCTCAATCCCAGGAATAATGAAGTTAGCATTTTAGAAAATTGCTTTGAGGACTGCACGCTGGATGGGTTGGAAAAGCTTGAAGTAGATAACCCAGTAGAGAAGCTCTAGTTAGGTGCCAGTCATGACATCATATCAGCCCAAACTATGCTGTCAACAGAGGGTACAAATAGAAAACTCTAAACTATCTTCCAAAGAAAGCAGCAGAAAACCCTGTGATGTGGTAGATGAAGCAGGTGAAAGAAAAAGCAAAAATCAAAAGCCACTGCGATTATTGCCATTGAATTCTTCCTTCACAGTTGGCCTTGTGTCTATTTACTGGCTGGTTTTGTCTTCTGTCTTTGCAGTCAGGCATGCTGATGCCCTGCTCCAAACTGACTTGGGGATGTGCCAGGAGGTGTAGCCCTGAGTGGGCAGCAGACAAGAGGGCAAGCAGGGACAGAGGCTGGTTCAAATCACTTTTAGAATCGAAGCTACAGCTTTGGTCACAAGTCAGCTCTCACTGCAGGACAAAGCAGGCCTGAAATGAAGTCACAGTGACTATTTCAATTGCTGTCTAAATCATATACAATTCTTACTAATCTCGTGTTGGGGGCAAGATTGTATTCTCAGCCTCGGGTGAGATGATGATTAAAAATCTATCCATTGCTAGACTGTGAGTTATTATTGAGAGTGAGTTAAAATAAAATGAGAGAGAGAGAGATCACCAAGAATTTCCAAGTAAGTGAAATTTAAATAGGGCCTTGTAGAAGTAAGATTTCTGCAGATGGATATGAGCAACGTGGGTATCCCAGATTGAGAAACAAAACAAACGAAAATTATTACCAATGGTAAGAATTGCTCTTACCAAAATGAGTGTCTAAAACTCTTTGCAGTCTGGACCAGCGGGATGATGAGGAAGGGAGATGAAAGATGGCTGATATTCACTGAAGGCTGGGTATTACACTCAGCACCACGGTTTTCCTAGCAGGTCTTTCTCTGTGTGGATGCTCAGGTTTTCTTCTTGTCATTTCCAGTATTCAAAGAGGCCAGCATTTCTCCAGGTATCATCTTTACCCTGAAAAATGTCCCATAAAAAACGATACTGTGATGAAACAAATTTGGGAGACCATATCGTCTCTTGAACGTTCCTGATAAACATTAGCATATTATAGTCTCTGAGATGATGTCGCAGTAAAGATACTAGTTAAATTGTGCTGAATTCAACATTTTCCAAGCTTTGAGGATCATGGGCTCTCTTTGTTCATGCCCTATCCGGTAACATTCATTGTTCTGAGGAACACCCATCAGCAAACACAATCCTCAGCTTTATAGGGATTGCTATTATCAGGAACCTCAGAGGACGAATGTTTTGTGAACATATTGGGGCCTCAGCTGCATATAGTGAGGGCCTGGTTTACTTTGAGACCAGGTGGGGGAATATTTCACCAAATATCTGGAATTTTCTTTGTTCTGTTATTTCTCAGAGGGCCCACTCTCCCCAAGGGATTGGGGTTTCACCAAGGTCCTGACAAATGGCAATTTTCATGAATTATTGATTTGGCCAAAAATAATTGAAAAGGTTTATAATTACATAGAGATCGCCTCATGCTTCTTGCTTGTACCCTGAGTAAATTCTTTCACATTCTGTGATACATGCAAGAAATGGGTACAGATTTTGGAAATATAACTCATTTAAAAATAAACTAGTGTGCAAAAAGGTCAAGAGACATGTTTGAGTAGAGCATCTAGGTTTTCAACATTGGGTAGAATAAAAACAAAGCATCAGAAGGAAGAAGAATTCACAGTTTGAAAATGAGACATACGGAAATAAGTAACGTATTGTTAAAAGTCGATTCGATGAGGGCGACATGGTTATTCTATTTGTTCTCTTCTCAATTTGTTTTCTGAAAGTAGAGGACCCTACTTGTTTTTTGTTTTATTATAATATTGGTACTCCTTTATTTGAAAGGTACCATATGCTTTTCATAGTAGATTAAAAATTAATCTTTAGATGATCGTTTGAAGGAGGGGGGCATATATACTAAACCTGAAAAGTAAGAGGACTTTGAGTTAGTTTTCTTGGCTCCCCATCTCTAGAGGAGACTTAAAAGCATTCCTTGTGTTGCAGGAGAGGGAGGTAAGTTAGGGGGAAAGTGAGAGTGAAATGTTCCTGGTT